GCTGGGCTGCCCTGCGTGGCCCCCACATACCTGGCCTTCTACCCTGCAGGCTCCCTCTGCCCTCAGGGACCTACTGTTCCCAGGCCCTGCCCTGGCACCCACCTCGGGGGCCATTCCCTGCACACATTCCCCTGTGTCTGCTCACCAGCTTTCTCCCTCACCTTATGTGCCAAAGGCTTTAAATGGACTCACATCCGTTGACCCAGTAAATCCATGTCAAGGAATCTGCCTAAGAAAATAATTCAAACCAGGTATGAAGATATATATAAAGATGTTTAGCACAGTGTGGTTTAAAATCATGAAACATTACTGACAATCAAAAAAACCAGCATGCCAGGCATGGTGGCTCATGCCTGTAATCTCAACAGTCTGGGAGTCTGAGGCTGAGGATCACTCAAGCCCTGGAGTTGGAGACCAGCTAGGCAACATAGCAAGACCTTGTCTCTACAAAAATTAAAAATAAATTAGCTGAGTTCAGTGGCATGCACCTGTAGTCCCAGCTAGATGGGAGGCTGATGTGGGAGGATCACTTCAGCGCAGGAGGTTGAGGCTGCCATGAGCCATGATCATGCCACTCTAGCCTAGGCAACAGAGTGAGACCCTGTCTCAAAATAATAATAATAAAAAAATAGTAAAATAATTTCTTTCTTACAAGACTAGCACTAGGAAAACATGGTGGGCCTTGGTCCTGATTTCAGATCACAGGAACTCGACAGAAATCTCTGAGGAGGGCCTGGACATTTGCCTTTTTAAAAGCACCCCCCCCCACCCCTCGTTCCTCTGTGCTTCTAATCCATGGCCAGGGTTGGTAACCACAAGGGTCACCTGATAGGCTCTGCTCAGCCACTGTCAATGATGTCTAAGAAGAGATTCTATGTGGTATGAAAAATGCTTACACAAACTAAAAGGCAAAAAAAGTTATTAATAACTAGGATACTGGATTGCTTTCTCAGGCATATCTCATCTGCCTACAAGAAAGTTAAAAAACCAAAACCCCAAAATGGAAAAACAAAAGAAACGAAAAATCCTAGAACCTAGATGGGAACCTGCCACAGCTGTATCTCACCTACCTCGTGATGATAGGATTATGGGTGGTGCTTTCTCATTTCTAGTCCTGTTACTTCGAACATTTTTTTACAAAGAACAAGTGTTCTTTTTTTTTTTTTTTTTTTTTTTTTTTTTTTTTTTTTTTTTGTGACCGAGTCTTGCTCTGTCACCAGGCTGGAATAAAGTGGCACGATCTTGGCTCACTGCAACCTCTGCCTCCCGGGCTCAAGTGATTCTCCTGCCTCAGCCTACTGAGTAGCTGGGACTAGAGGCACGCGCCACCATGCCCAACTAATTTTTGTATTTTTAATAGAGATGGCATTTCATCATGTTGGCCGGGATGTTCTCGATCTCTTGACCTTGTGATCCACCTGCCTCGGCCTCCCAAAGTGTTGGGATTACAGGTGTGAGCCACCGCGTCCAGCCTACAAAGAGCAGGTCCTATTTTTATAACCAGAGAAACAACTGAAAGACAAGCGGCCGTGGGGAGGGAGTCAGCACTGTGTTGCATGCACCCTGGCAGGCTCACTCAAGGCACCATCCTCCCCACTGATGCAGCCAATGCCTCCTCCCTATTTCTCAGGCTCACATGTACTTTGCAGTCATTATTTTAAACTAATCCCCTAAACATTTTTAAGAGACAGGTTCTCACTCTGTTGCTCAGGCTGGAATGCAGTGACACCATCTTGGCTCACTGCAGCCTTGAACTCCTGGGCTGAAGCAATCCTCCTGTTTCAGCCTCCCAAGTAGCTGTGACCACAGGCACGTGATACCACATCCACCTAATTTATTTTTTGTGGAGATGGGGTCTCTGTATATTGCCCAGGCTGGTCTTGAACGTGCCACCATGCCTGGCTGCCCCAAGCAATCTTACATGGGGAATGTTGTCACCTCATATTTTAGAAGGGGAGAATTTGCCAAAATTAAATCTATAGTTTAAAAACCATCTAGGTGACTTGGTGATGACCTTGGCTTGAAGCTTGGTTGGAAAATTCCAGGTCTTCTGGTTTCCTTCTCCACCTTACGGAAGAAAGCCATTGTAGGACAGATGAATGGGACTGAAAGGCTGACAGGTCTGCCATATTTCATTGATTCTAAGATGAAAATTACTTCCCATTGTAACATTTCTGAAATCTGGATGTGTCTTATAATCGGTGGCATCCTTCAGTTATAATTGGCACCACTCTTTTCCCTTTCTTAATGGTACATAAACTAATAATACATCTTATGACTGAATAGCAGCTTACATTCAAGGACAAGTACCATGTCTCCATCTAAACCCATCATGTTATCTCTAAGGTGATAGTTTTAATGGCTACATAATATTCTATAATAAGATGGACTTTAATTTATTTCACCGGTTACCTCATATGGATACTCAGTACACTCCAGTGTTTTACCATTGGGAATGCTGCTACTGTGAACACCCTGGTATTAAGCATTCCCTTTGCTACCAGGGGTGGCTTCATCCTCTCCTAGGCTCCAAATCTTGGGAGACATCTTGACACTTCTTGCTGTTCATCTCCCATATTTGATCTATTGCTGAATCTTGCTACTTCTTTCATGGTCTCTGTTTCTGGTTGAGCTACCCAGGGCTCTATTCTGAGTTCCCGTAACACTCCTCTAACTGGTTTCTCTGCCTCCAGCTCTCCTTTCAGCCCATCACTATACTACTGCTCAAAGGTAACTTCAGTCATGTCACATTTCTGCTCAGAAACTTACACTCCTCACAGGGTCAAGTTCACTCTCTTAGCGTAGCATCCAAGGCTCTGCCAAATTTGGCTCTATCCTCTCCTGCAGCCCCATCTCCCCACCCAGTCGCTCCAAAAAAATGGTCCACTCACTGGCTATGAGGGAACCTGCCTCCAAGCCTTTGCTTCCTCAGTTACCTCCACCCCCACTCTAGGAAGGGACGCTCCTTTCTCTTTTTCCAAACCTTACTCATCAGACCCAGTTCAAGTTTCACCTTCCTGATGAAATGTGTTATGGCTCAGTGGATCCTCAGGAAGGATAGGCAGAGGCTTAGCCTCATTTCACAGGTGAAGAAACTGAAGTTTAAATGGATTAAGTGGCTTGCTCAACTTTTAGACAGCTAAGAAGTGCAGAGCCAGGCTTGAAATTCCAGGGCTTCTGTCCTTAAATCCAGTGCCTTCCAGCGCCATGTGCAAGTACGACGATAAACTCCTCCCGTGGAGCAGCCTGTGCCCAGATCCTGCAGCAGCAATATGCCCCGAGCTTCAGCTGTCTTTGGATTCCAGATGCACACATGCCAACAATGAGATCATTGCAAGAGTGAAAATACTTCAAGTCTGTCCGTTCCCAGCAACCCAAGCAAAGGATTGGGCCAGTTGTCCTATTCATTCCCATTTTAAACGGGGGAAGACAACAGTATTTTCCTTGAATTGTGCCAGCTGTCACTGCTTTGACCCTGATTGGTTTGGCTGGACCAAGATCGTGACAAGTAATCAGAGCCACGTCACTCTGACACTAGCAGGACACTATCAAGAACTGGCTTTAAGCTGAAAAATCTAAGGGAAATACATCTCAGGAAGCAAAAAGAGAGTGCACCCCTTCTGCTATGTGAGCACACAGTGACGATGACACTGTCCAAAGCTCAGGCAGCCTAGAGAGTAAGGCCTAAGTGCCAGACGGATAAAAAGCAGCAGGAGGGTGGGGTTAGGACACTACTTCCTGAGCACCCACTGCCCTGGCCACTTCACAGAGAGCAGGTCCTGGATGATGGGGAAACAAGGTGTTTGCTGTTATTCTTTGTGTTTTACTTGAATACACGACAGAGTCAGAGCAGTAAAGACCAATGTGTAATTGTGGCTTATGAGGAAGTGTGACCCCTGCTCATGCTCAGAATTTCTCCAGAGAATACATTGCCTCACATCCCCTGAACTTTTGTCATTTGATCTAATTAAATGCTACAGGTTAAAGTAAAAATAGAAACAAACAGCCCTGGCCTATGGGCAGTGCAGCCAGTGTCCCTCACATCCGACTCCAATTCCGACTCCGACGAGGCTGGGTGTGACAGTGTCACTCACCCGCTCGAGTCGAAGGCAGCCCTGTGCTCCTGGGAGAACAGACCTGTCAGCAGGGTTTCCCTCCAACATTCTCCCCTCTACAGGGTGACCCAGGTCCCTAGGCCAATTCCTGCATTCTCCTCAGCCAGAAGGCCAAGAGTAGGCCGAGGAGAGAAACAGCAAGGAAGAGTTTCTCTCCGAAGCTAAGAGGACTGTTACTGTCCTTGGTTTCAGAGAAGACCTGGTGTCTTCACATCCTTGCAATCACGAGTCACCTCATGTGTCACCTCATGAGGCAGGCAGGGGACATGGATGAGTCGACGAGGCCCAGAAAGGGGGAAGGGCCAGAGGTGGGCAAGGTCACTTCCCGGTCCTCACTGTGACCACTTACACCAAGACCCCCCGCAGGAGCCATGAGGCATGAGACCCAGGAGGCTCTGCTTTCTCAAGCGTGGAGGGGCGGTCCCTCGAAAGAACAAGGGTGGAGAGGCCCAGTGGGAAAGCAGGGGCTCTGGGGCCATCTGGCTTTTCCCGGCTAAGTTGTTTCTCTTCCCTGACCTTTGGCTCCCTCATTTGTAAAGTGGAGCTGATCATCTCTGCTGCACAGGTGCACTGTGAAGCCCCAGGGGAAGCAGGTGAGTGTGAGGGGCCTGGTGCTGGATCTGACACACGGCCAGGGCTTACTGTCTAGGGTGGTGCACAGGGCGTAACAGCCCCTGGAGCAGCCAGGGTCTCACATATGATAGCACAGCCTCCTTGTGCTGAGAGGTATGGTAAGGGGAGTACACTGTCCCCCACCACAAACACACACACGCTCTTCTAGGTGAATCCGAAAACCAGAAGGATCATGGCATTTCTTGTGGCCCCTGAGGTATGCTTCTCAGCCCTGACCAAACACAGGCTCTGTGACATGCCACGGCTACTCACCGGCTCGATTTTCAGAGCGTTTCGGTAGCTACCGAAGAAAGCGGCCTGGGCCTTAAGGAACGCTCTGGCCACACCATCCCCAGTGGTTGTGGAGACCTTTTTCAGCCTGTTCTTCAGGGAAGAGATCTGGTGATGGAGAGAAAGAAAACACAGGTTGAGGACAGGGTCAAAGTGGGGTGGCTAAGTTCACTATATACGGAGCCCTGGAAGATACTACGGATGGCAGGATCCGTTTGATACCTCAGTTACTGGAAGGACAAAAATGTGTTCAGGTCAGGTGCGGTGGCACACGCCTGTAATCCCAGCTACTTGGGATGCTGAGGCAGGAGAATCACTTGAATCCAGGAGGCGGAGGCTGCAGTGAGCCGAGATCACGCCATTGCACTCCAGCATGGGGCAACAGAGTGAGACTCAGTCTCAAAAAAAAAAAAAAGTGTTCAGAATTAGGGCATCTTTTTGAAATTTAAATGAATGTTGTTCCTATTAGAACGTGTCTAATAAAAACAAAAACCATTTTTAATGACTTACTCCATGCCAGGTAAGCACTTTTGCATACATTTTACAATTTAGTTAATTTAACAATCCGGTGAGGAAGGAATTAATGTTCCCATCTTACAAGGGTAAAACAGCCTCAGGGAGGCTAGGCTACATACCTAGGAACAAACTCAAGACATGGCCACATTCCAATCAAAGTCTTGTAGTCTGAGCCCAAACTCAGACTTTCAGTTCCTATTCTATACCCTCTTAAAGCTACTTACAAATGTTAGAATAAAGGCTTATTTATATTTCTCACACATAATACTCTAAAGGAAGTGTGGCAGCTTATACTAACAGACACATACTCAAGACGTTAAAACAAAATATTTGGAAATGATGATAATGGGCAAAGAAGCAGGTAATAGATTTGCTATATAAATGTAAGCCATCAGGTCTTATATGGTGGGTAGAAATGGGCTTGAATTTGACTTAAAAGTCTCCCAGTAGCCAAAGCAAAGAGGGAAATATGAAGGCTGTGAGATTTCACAGGTCCATGTACTACAAACAAACCCATTGGTCAAATGAATAAAGATTCTCCTGAAAGTGAGACATAAAAAACAATGTAGGAAAGACTGTGTGACATGGTGGCTGCTGCCCTCAACATCAAGCTTCTTGGACTATTTCTAACACGCGTTTCATTCATCTCAAGGTGCCACGCTTCACAGCACACCTTTCATACTGCGTTCCACATAAGAGGAGCCCCTGGAACTGTGCAACGTGGTGACCTCGAGTTATTCATTCACTCAACAAGTATTTATTATTTCCTATGTACCTAGGACTATGTTGGGCATTGGGAATACAAGGGATACAATGAAACTACACAGGGGTCTTGCCCTCATTCAGCTGACATTCTAGTGAGAAAAACAGGGATGCATGTGGCATTGCTACTGTGACAAGCCTGTAAGAGAGCTTGTCTAGGGGGTCAAGGAAGGCTTCCTGGAGGGCAGCAGGCTTGCACTAAGATCTGAAGGATGGGTGAGGGTGGTTAACTCAGCAAAGAGGGGAGAGCACCACATGCTAAGTATGGGGAGTGGCGTGCAAAGGCCCTGCAGTGCAGAAGAGTTCAGGGAACAGAAAGAACCCCGGCTTCAGTGGAGAAAATGAGGGGAATATGGCTTGAAATGAGGCTGGAGAGAAAGGCAGGGGACTGAAGGGATTTTTTTCCTTCGTCCTGAGAGAGAAACAAAACTAATGATTGGTTTTAAGCATTCAGGTAACGTATCGAGAGCACGTTTCATGGAAACTAATTCTGTAAGAGACCAGCTACTGGTAGGACATTATTTAAAGAAAAAACTTAGGATACAATAGAAAATTAGATTTAGGTGATCCACGAATCTTTTACAGATTTTTAATATGAATGAGTGAAGATTATTTTTCTGGGTACAGGATCCATAGCTTTCCCCAGAATCTTAAAGGCACCTGTGACCCTAGAAATATTAAGAATCACTTGCTGAGAAGTCTGGGGAAAAAAATCTGATCCGGGAAGGACTAGACAGACTTTAGAAATGATCCATGCACATTATGTCTTGTTCCCAAGCTTCTGAGAGGAAAAATCTTTAATAGCTTATTGAGACATAGTTCACATATAAAATTCATTCATTTAAAGTACACACTTTGGTGGTTTTTAGTATAGTCACAAGGCTGTACAACCATCACTACTAACTCCAGAACATTTTTTATCATCCCCGAAAGAAACCTCATACTCATTAGCTGTCACTCCCCATTCCCTACCAATTTCAACCCCACACCAGACCCAAGCAACCACTTACCTTCCTCCTGTCTCTACAGGTTTGCCTACTCTGGACATTTCATATAAATGGAATTAACAATAGGTAGAATTTTGCCATCAGATTATTTCCCTTAGCACAATGCTTTATGAACAAGGATCGTCCATGTTGTAGCATGTGTCAAGACTTCACACTTTTTATGGCTAAATAGTATTCCACTGTATGGAGAGACCACATTTTATCAATCTGTTCATCAGCAGATGGACATTTGGGCTGTTTCTACTTCTTGGCTGCTATGAATAATGCTGCTATGAAGATTCATGTACAAGTTTTTGTGTGGAGACAACAGAAATTTCGAGGTAACAATCTGAAAAGCAAAAATCCTCCACCAGACCTTATGCAATGAAGACAAGCTGGAAGGATACACAAAGTCACCAAGCAGTGCTCAGTGTATACGAAGCCATTCATAAATGTGAACTGTTTATAGGAAAAAAATCCTTTGCTATTGATAAAGGGCATGCCTCACGTTTGGATGCTAAACTGAGTGAAGATGGGACTGATACTCTCCTCTGATAAGTTAGAAGCCAAGGGGACGTGCCCAGCGCTTTGGCAAGCTGAGGCAGGAGGATGGCTTGAAGCCAGGAGTTCAAAACCAGCTTGGGCAACACAGTGAGATCCCATCTCTATAAAAAAATATAAAAAAAGATTTAGCCAGCCATGGTGGCACATGCCTGTAGTCTCAGCTACTTAGAAGGCTGAGGTGGGAGGACTGCTTGAGCCCAGGAGTTCAAGGTTGCAATGAGCTATGATTGCACCGTAGAACTCCAGCCTGGGTGACAGAGCAAGACCCTGTCTCAAAAAAAAAAAAAAAAAAAAAAAGTAAAAAGCCTTGGGAACATACACTGAGGGGGTAGTTAGCCCACCTCTACTCCAAGAGGGGACCATGGAAAACAATCTTCATTTGGAAGCAGTTTGAAGTCTATCTCAACATCCGGGTATCTACAACTGGTTTATTATGACCTTCCCTTATCAGGGACACATGAGCCCCAGCCCCACAGTGGTGAGAGCCCCTGAGGAGCAATGCAGGCCATTCAGCACCTAGGCTGACTCTGCCGTGGACTTCCGCCTCCAAAGAGAAGTACGAAAAAGAAGCATGCTCTATTAACACGCTAAAAATACTACCCACTCCCTGCCCCTGCCCCCAAAATAAAAATAAAAATCCTGCCCCTCCCAGGGACTACAGTGACATTTCCATCCTTTGAAATGGTACAAGCCGCTGTCGCTCTCCTTCTGGCTCCTCAAAGGCCTTGGGCCACCTGTGCCGCAGATTATTCCTCACTTAACCTTCCCTGGCCTTTCTCTTTCATTCGGGAGGTGTTTAATTACCTTGGATTCACAACGCTGCACTTCAGGTGAGCCTCTCCTAATGGCCTTATTACCATTTTACACAAAGAAGGAGTCGTTGATTGTAACTGAGCAAATACTAGCGTGTTCCTTCTTGCCTGCCCCAGCTGGCCTGAAACTAGCCAAGTGGTCCTGGGCTCCTGGTGCCCCTGTGACCACTTAGGCCAAGAATTCTGAAGACCTCCTCTCACCCTGCCACATGGAGAAGCTTTTGTCTTGATCTGCCAGCACCTTAAACTTTGAAACTGCAAGTATCTGTGCATCTGATCGCTGGGGAGTAGCATTTGTCCTTTAAATACAAGTGAGGGAAGAAAATTTAAGGTTTAAATAACACAGAGTCATATATCTAAAGCTGAATTTGCCTTCAGTACCCCTAGGGGTGCTGGTCAAATCGTTAACATTGGGATTTATCTGGGGTAATTTGGGTGTGTTGTAAGTGCCGGTGAGGATGGCTTCCTCCTTTAATCAGGTGTTATAGGAGGAAGACAAAGCAAAGGAAAGGGGGGGCAAAACTGAACTCACCAGCTTCTGTCTAAAGTGCCCTTTCCTCTCTGTGTGCCATCTTGGTTACCACAGCATCATTCGGCCAGTCTCCTGGGCCAGGTGTCAGATGTCAGATTCCCTACTTCTCCCTCCTTTCCACAAACATTCTCCACATGTCATCAACACCAACCCAGATATGCCCTGAATCCACTCTCTCCTCTCAGTGCCCATGACACTGCCCTGTAAATTCAGCTCCATCATCCTCTCTGGCCCAGACTAGTGGAACAGTTTCCTCGGTGGGCCTTTCTTTGCCTTCAGTTTCTCAATGCCATCCACCCATATCTGTCCTAGTAATCTTGGAAAAATCCAAATCCAATCACTTTGATTCTCCATCAAAACCCTTCAGTGTCCCCGCCCTTCACCGTCATCACCTTCAGAAAAACATCCAAACTTCCACGAGCAGTCTGTGCAGGCTGTCGTCGATCAGCCTCACTTCCACTTGCTCTACTTAATGTTAAACTTGGATATCCAGAAGCACAGGCTACTCTCCAGCCCATTTCCATCTCAGTAGCTCAGTCCTGGTTGTCTCTTGTCCCTTCCTGTCCTGCTTGTGAACATCTATTCAACTTCTGAAAGACCATCCAAGTATCTATCAATTGGGGCCTCTGAAATACATGATCCCACATCCTCACCAGGAAATACCACATAGCTGCTAAAAAGGACATGGCAGTACTCTACGAACTGACACAAAAAGATGTCCGTGAAATACTGTCGAGTGGGGGAAAAACATGCAGGTTGCAGAGTAACATGTACAGCATGAATCATTTTAAAATTATATATAAATATATATGCAGTAAAAATCTAAAATGCTACATTATCAAACTTCAACCATGCAAGGATGCTTTCACTTTCTATTTTACACACTTGATTGTTTTGATTATCCTTTAAGAAAAAGCATATGTTACTTTTACAATA